CGACTTGGACTCGTGGCAGGCACTGTTGTGAGCTCTAGGTCTTCAGCTGGACTCATGCAGGACATTTCCATGGGATCCAGGCCCTCAGCTAGACTCCTTGGTCTTAGTATGTAGACAGATATCCTGTACTCTCTTGTATATGATTCTTTAGGTGACTATTACAAATAACCTTATGAAATATGTGTCCTGTATTATACTATTGTTCTCCCTTGCAAAATATCCCCAAACCAACACAGTAAGATTAGGTGATGGGTTGAATAAAAGAAATGGGTGTTGCGGAGGATTTCCAGTTTAACCAGAACAATATTCCTCTTGCTAGTTGCACTAGATCAACATGGAATGAATTTCTCCTGCATGTCAGGCACTGTTAGGCTCTTTCAGATACTTAACTCCTTCCTCCTCTTTATTTTCTTTGACAAAAGTAGTCATTCCTTTTCCTCATGAAGCGGGGCTCTCCCTGCCTTAAAAGGACGATATCCAGACAAAAAACCAGAAACTTAAAAACTGCAGCAGTGTACAATAGACCCTGTGAAATGGGAAGAAATTGTTTAAAAGGAAAGAGAAACTAGCGTGGGGGGAAGGGAAAAGGAAGGCAGGGAAAAGAGAAAAAATGAAAGTCAGTTATACTATTAGTGTCTCTTAGTTCATTCAAAGGGAAGGTTTGTGCTAATATCTCTTGGAGAATTTTTTATGTGCATATTTTGTACTCTGAGTAACTACTTTGAAGATGACAATATGCAATGTGTTAACTATTGTTATTCTCCTATTATTTTGTTATGAAATTCTGTTTTACCTTTTTTCCATTAAAAAACTTGCAGCATTCCTTCTGTACTTAGAGTAGATATGGACACACATAAATTTAAATGGTAAAAAATCACAGAATGATACATTAAAAAGATAAATTTTATCGTATGTAAGTTATATCTTAACAATTTTTAAAGAACTCTAAATCAGGACCTTTCTATCTCAGAGCTGTTGACATTTTGGGTGGATGAGTCTGTGTTGTAGAGGCTGCGCTGTACATTGTACATTGGAGGATGCTTGATATTTACCAAAATATCCAAGCGTTGAGGAATTATGAGAAGAGGCTAGACGACCAAAAAAAAAAAAAAAGTCATCAAATTAAAAGGGGCTGGGGATTTAGCTCAGCGGCACAGTGCATGCCTGGCAAGCACAAGGTCATGAGTTCGATTCCAGGTACTGGAAAAAAAAAAAAAAAAAAAAAAAAAAGAGAAGAGGCTAGACGGATGAGTTGTACCAGGAATAACAAAGTAGAGAAGGAGCTTAATAAATATTTTTTTTCATGAAACAGTATAGCATTAGGGGAGAGACAAGTATAACTCTATTCATCCTTCTTTCCCTTTTTTTTTTTTTTGTGGTACTGGGAATTGGATTCAGTGCCTCATGCATGCTAGGTAAGTGCTTTACCACTGAGCTACACCCTAACCCTGTATTTCTTTGAGCTGTTTAAAATAGTAAACAAATTATAAGTATGCAATTTTTAAAACATTGAACTCTACAGAGGGTTACATGGCTATCCCTGGACTCAGGACTGACTTTGTTGTTTAGGTACTTACCTCCGTGCATCTAATACTATGTGTGTGCTGCTGCTTCCTGGTTTATTAACTGTAGATATTATCTCTTGACTTCCTGTTGTGAAAGATAAGGATTTCATTTGCCTGTACTCCTCTTTCAGTACTGCTTTAACATTAAGTAACAGATTGAAATCTCTTATGTTGCAGTGATTTTAAGCAGTATCTTTTTGACTTCTACCCTTAATAAAAGCCCCTTTTCTTCCCCGCAAAAAGCTTGCTTTTCCCTCAAGTGCATTTTTCCAATTCCATCTGACAGTTAGTGACATCTGTAACTTTGCTTTTACCTCATCTGGGCTGGTGAGGCTTACATTCCGTTCTGTAACCATCAGTTGCGTCATAATACTTTGTCTATTTAGCCTGAATCTAGAAGGTAAAAACCTCCAGGGGAGGAGGGGAATGAGGGCAGCAGTTTGAGGGCTCCCCTGAGAGAAGAGCCACCTGGACAGGAATAGGACTTTTCATTAAAAGGGTTTCGTTCAAGGCTCCTAAGAACTGAGCAAGAGCAGTGTTGCTACCTGTAGACCACTGGACTTCCCAGGTTATTCCCTGTACCCCAGGCTTGGCTCGTTCTGCTTCCCATTGGCATCCTTGAGTGTATCTCCTCAGCCGTAGCCAGCACCCCTCCTAATGTCAGTGCCACCCGCTGCCTGCTGTGCATTCCCAGGAGGACACTCATTCCCTATGGCTCACTCCTATGTGACTTGTCTTCTAAGGCTAACCCACTCTTTGTAAAATTCTGTGCCATTAGTTAGCCCAAGAAAAGAAGGCTGGAAAAAAGAAAAGGAGAATAGAAAAGAAGGCTATCACCTCAAAACTTAGCATGTTTTGCTAAGTGGAATTGGATGAATCCTCTGACATTCATCTTGGAAGAGGCTGGAAATGAACCCACTCTGATTCCCCATCTGTTCCATCATACCTACAAAATGTCAGGAGGCCGTTCCTTTTGGTGTTTTTTTTTTAAATGGACATCTCACTAAGTTGTTCAGGCTGATCATAAACTCCAGATCTTCCACCTCAGTCTCCCAAAGAAGCTGGGATTACAGGAGTGAGTCACCATCTGTTCCAGACAATCTTTTCAAGACTGCTTAGCAAACATCTTTGGAAGCTTCAAATATTGTCTCTCCCTGGGTCAGAGGAGAGTTTTGTTTCCTAACCACTATAATGAAGATAATATCTTCCTCTGGGGCAAAGGAGGCATGTTTGCTAGCATTTCTTGGGGGTTTCATAGTTCAGTGTTTCAAAACAGAGGAACTCACCTGGCCAGCTCTGTATTGCACCCTGGAGGTTGGAGGGGAGGGTCGAACAGATGAGGACATGGGGCTTATGGTGCCTGCTGTGAAGAGTAAACTACTGATGCCTATTTGTACTTTTCACATCTATGAAAGTGCGGCAAGTCAGCAGACCTCACAGCTGCGGGAGGAGCTGATGACTAGGGACGCTGGACTGCTGGACCCAGAACCCTCGGCAAGGCTGGCTGCCTGCTTCCTCCTCTGGTTCAGGCACCCCCTGTATTTTTTTCCTCCTGTGATAGTGGGGATTGAACCCAGGGCTTTTGCACTAAGCTATGTCTCTGTCTTTTTTTTTTTTTCTTTTTAAAGTTCAAGACAGTCTCAGAGAGTTGCCCATGCTGGGCTCAAACTTGCAGTCTTTCTACCTCAGCCTCCCAGAGGGCTGGGATGACAGACATGTGCCACCCTGCCGGCTACCCCCTGTATTTTAAGGGCAGTGGCTTCCTTAACTCTCAGATCTCTGAAATCCCTTTGCTGTCCATCTCTCTCTTCTTTTCTCTTCCTTTACTGTCATCTTGATGAGGTATCAAGTGTTTGGGGTGGTAATTATTAATGTGCATGCTCCAATTACCTAGTGGAAACTCCATTTGTATTTTATAAAGACTGAAGAAATAATACAACGAAAAAGAACTTTTTGAGATGATAGCTGTCTTATACATGTAATCCAACATTCAGCTAGTAAATTGCAAAACACAGTACATACTAAAAAGGGATTTTTTGCTGCTTCCAGAATCTCCTTCTCCTGCATGGCTCCTCACATTTTCACCACAGGGATCCCAGAACCTTTTAAAGATAGAGGCCGAGTAAATTTTTCAGAGGCAGCAAGGAAGGTGGTATAGGAAGACGTGATGTGCTCCACGGCAGATCTCAGGGAGTGCCCACAGAACATCATTCCATGCATTCCTGCATGCAGGGGCTGGACAGCAGGAGCCTGCTGGATTCTTTGACAGGGATCCTCATAAGACTGTGGCATTTCTTAGTCTGTTTCTGTTTCTATGACTGAATACCACAGACAATAATATATAAAAAATAAAAGTTTATATAGTTCATGGCTCTGGAAGAAGCCAGGAAATTCAAGATTAGGCAGCCACGTATGGAGAGGTCTTTTTTGCTAGTGGGGACTCTACAGTGTCACAAGGTAGCAAAGACCATTACATGGCAAGACAGAACTAGCAAGCCTGAGTGCAGTCACTTTTGTAACTAAGCCACTCCTGAGCTTGCCCAGAAATCCACTAACCCTTTCATCTGTAGGTCGGTTAATCAGCCCTCATGACCCAATCACCTTTCCCAGTCCCTCCTGGTCCCGCCTCTTTATATTTCACAGTGGGGCTTACTCATTTCCATATGAGTTCTAGTGAGGACATTCAAATCATAGCAACTGCCACTAGACCTGTCATATGGGAGAAATCTTGTACTTTAAGGTAGAAGTAAGACTTGGCTGAAGGTGAGGAAACTACATCTTCCTGAAAGCACCATAGTGGAAGTTTTTGGTTCTCCAGAGACAGCTGTGGTAGAGTTTCTATTGTCTCATCTATGACAGCATGGTTATTGCCACTCTGTACACCTTCGTGTTAATTAGAAAATGTTATCTAATTCACCCCAAAGCACTTTAATTCCATCTGTAAAAATATTGCCATTAGCATACTGATATGTTAGAATGAGACACCATCTGCTGGACACCGTAATAAATAAATCTGAGATGTCCTCAATGTGACTAGTACACCCGGGGAATGTGAAAAGAATCCTGGTTAGAGATGGCAGGTCAAGTGGCATGCAGTGGCAGTAATGGGAGGTTATTGTTAGAAGATTCTACTGAGGTCATTTCCTAGTCTGTAACTGATTCCCTGGTCCTCTTGGACATGTATCAGACAACCCTAATATCCTTTAATTAGTCCCTTTGTGTTTAATTATTGCTGTGTTTTGGATCTGGAATGTTCCCCAAAGTCTATGCATTAAGCAGGTTACTAGCTTGGCACCACTGGAAGGTAACGGAAGCTTGAAGAAGTGGGGCATAGTGGCAGATCCTGAGGTCACAGGGGACTGTGCAGTCCTGAGAGGGGACTGCAGGACCATGATTTCTCCTCTTTTTTCCTTTACATCCTAGCTATGAGGAAAATAGGCATTTCTTTGCCCAGTGCTCCTGCCATGGTGTGCTTCTTTGCTACAGACCTCAAATCAACAGGGCTATTTGATCATGGATTGGAGCGGAACCTCCAAAATGGTGAGGCAACACAACATTTTTTCTCCTCCTAAGTGGGTTTATCTCAGGTATTTGTTATGATAACACAAAGTTAACAGGCAAAGAGTGCTTTATCTGTTCTTTATTATGCCCACAGGGACACAAAAGACAGAGAAGGTAGCAACAATAAGAAAGGGAGGAAGAAAACCAAGTGAGGTTTGGGGTATATAGAAAGAAGAGTCTCATAGGAGGAAACCAGTAAGTAGAAAAATTAGCTTCCACATACCCTCTAGGAAGGTGGAGTAAGCTCCTTGAAAAGGACTCATGTTATTCATATGTAGAAGTGTGTTACAAGTTCAATGGAGGAGAAGAAATAGATTGACTTGAGGAATAAATTCAATAGAGATTTTGGAATCAGCAAAGTATTCCTTTTATGATACTGTACCATTGAGTTGAATGTTTTTATTTTATATTTATTTATTTATTTTGTCTTTTTGAGACAGGGTCTAGCTATGCAGTTCAGGTTGACCTTGAACTCATTTTGTAGCCCAGGCTGGCCTTGAACTTGCAGCGATCCTCCTGCCTCAGCCTCCCAAGTGCTGGGATTACAGTGGTGCACCACCACACACGGTTTGAATGCTTTTAAAACTAAATAAATATGTAATCCCATTGAGTTACCCCAGTGTTAGGAAATAGCTATCTGACTCATGCCACAAGCTGGAGTCACTGATGAAGCATAGACACTGAGTCTGGAAAACTGACTACTAGATGGCCCATAGGGGACCTAGAAATTTAGGGGCGCTCTGTTTGCTCTATTTTACCAGCTTTCATCTTGGCTTTCCTCCCTGATGTGAAAAGCCTCAGCCTCCCAAGTGCTGGGATCACAGGCATGCGCCACCACTCCCGGTAGTTCAGAACTGTTTTAACCAGAATGCCTCTTCCATCTTCTAGTTATTTTATTAGTTCTCAAACCTCCAGTAAAAAGGTGGGTTGAGAGACTAAGTCCCTGATTTATCATCAGCTTTAAAACCAGATCTACTTATATAGCTTATGTTGTCATCCACTTGCAGATGGAAAAAAATTACGGCCCCATGGAAGACAGCAGAGACATCTTGCCTTTGCTTTCTACCCAAGTTGGATTTCTTACATCTTCTACCCTTCCCTTCCTTCCCTTAAGGGCTGCTGTGTGGCTCTTCCTTCCCTTAATGATTTGCTCCTTCCTCTGTCTGAACTGTCATTCCTGCAGCTCCATCCACTTCTTTCCTGGATGGACCCAGGGCTCTGAGCCAGGAGAGTGCTGGAAAGAGAGGCATCTAAATCTTTGACGCTTCCCAGCTTAACAGTTCTTTAGGTTATTATGCTAAAAGCTTGTCTGCCTCACTGTGCTACTTGAGTCCATTTTGTATTCAACCCCAGGAGGAAGAAGGGTAAAGCAGAAAAAAATCTTTCCTGCCACGAGTAAAATATCGCAGATGTTAACTGGTGATTACAAAAGACAGTACAGCGGGCCAAGGAACCATAGGAGGGAGGGGGTGGACCACAGCAGAGGGGAGGGGGTGTCGCTGAGCTGACTGTTCGGGCAGATGCTCTGGAGGATTAAATTACACGGAGCCGCTGGTGCCGTCCCCCTGCCCTACTCAGGAGGGCCAGAGCTATTTCCAGACTGTGGGAAAGAGAAAAAGTCTGCACTTTCTGTGTTTAGGAGGCACTGTATTTTCCCCTTATTTTAGAAAATGATATCCAGCTCTCAGTGTATGGTAGCACCTTTATTTATGAGGTGTTACTCGGGGATCCAAAATGAGGAAGAGCAGTAAACTGGGCATCTGTGGATTTTGCCTTCTCAGCAGCCATTTTCCCACCTCTAATAACAGAACTACCATTTGGGGGTTATGAGGTCAGCAACTTTCTTCACTTTGACCATGTGGTTCAGACTGACCCCCACCAGACCCATTGCCCCTTCTCCAAGCTGAGCAGTTTTGTAACATAAGCAATCGTTTGTATTGGAACAGACCTGCGATTCAGAGCGCAGTCGGCCCCAGGACTTTTCCTGCTGGTTCCGTGAAACAGGGGCCTGCTTTCTGCTCTGGGTGTCAAGGGGACAGGATGAAAGTCTGCTCTTGAGTTGTTTGTGAAAGCTTGCCAGGGGATGGAGCCAAATAGAAATGACCAGCTGAGCAATGAAAAGAGAACTTTCCTGAGGACATTGTCCAGGTGCCTGGATGCAACTGCAGCCGAAAATGATACACGCCTCTCAGGATTTCTTAATTTCCGTGTATCTATGCCTTCTCCTACTCCTTTGTTCCACCATTTTGCATTTGTGTTCATGTCAGTTGTAACCCAAAGTATTCTACCTAATACAAGTGGATTAAAATAACCTGAAAGATGCGTCCAGGTCACTGTGCTGGGCAGAACGAAATGAATACTGCTTTTAGCTGCCATTGGCTCGGTACTGCATTTGCTATGGATGAAGTCTGTAGGCTTAATCCCAGCTTGTGTCTGACTTTGAGCAGGATCACCAGGCAGGAGCTGCCGGCCAGAGCTCAGCTCGGCAATCAGCATGTTCAGTGCTATGCTATTGTAAAGCAGTGCTCACAAAGACACCCCTGAACAAAAACGGATGCGCATAAAGGTCCAGCATGCACTCAGGATGCCAGGATCTCTACTCTTACATGCAAAGAAATAATTGTTCTCAGAACCCCTGGAGAAAACAGCTCACTCACAAGAGCTGATGTGAAAATGTTCCTTGAGTGGAAAGCAGTGGGAAGCAGCTGTTAGGAGAATGGACAATTAAAAAGGAGAGGCTATTTTAATATTTATCCATTTGTCCAATAAGGATTGATTCAGGGCCTTCTATGGTGCTAGGGATAGGAAACGCTAAATAAAGACAAAAATCATGCTCTCAAGAAGCATGCAGGGCTTGGGATATAGCCCAGTGGCATAAGTGCCTGCCTGCTAAGTGCAAGGTCCTGAGTTTGATTCCCGGTACCAAAAAAAAAAAAAAAAAGGAGCATGCAATTGTTTCAGAGAGTGAACAAGAAAATCAATGGGTAAATAATGCAATCAGTGATAATATAAACAGAAATGCAATAATAGGAGAGTATTGACTACTAAAGGCATTCTCTTTTTGTTAGTTTATGGAATCCTGATTTTATTCCGGAGGCAAGTTACTCAGGTAGGTGAACTGCTTCCCCAGGATGAGGATTAGCCCTGGTAGATCTATCTAAACCAGCGTTTTCAAATTCTGGCTTGCATCAACATCATCTGGTGAGCTTGTTACAACCCAGAATCCTGAGCGCCACCCTCAGGGTTATTGATTCAGTATGTCAAGGTGAGTCCAGAAATGTGCATGTCTAACAAGTTCCAAGGTGATATTGATGTTGCTAACCTGAGGACCACTCATCTCAATCAAGCATAGTTATCTGGTTCACTTGTTCCAGTTCAGTCAGCCCTATGTGCATCAGCATTCAGAATTCCACTAGCCATGTCTTAAAAATGTGTTTAGGCTGTCATGCTTGCATCTGTATTGAACATGTACATATTTTTTTTCTTGTCATTGTTCTCTAAAGAATATAGTATAACAATTGTTTATATAACATTTAAATTATGTTAGATATTAAGAGGTTTTTTCTTTATCATTTTGAGACAGGGTTTCACTATGCAATTCATGCTGGCCTTGAACTCACTTTGTAGCTCAGGCTGGCCTCAAACTCACAGCGATTCCCCTGCCTCAGCCTCCTAAGTGCTGGGATTACAGGCATGTACCACCATGCCCAGCCTGATGTTAAGTATTATAAATGATCTAGAGATGATTTAAAGTATACAGGAGAGTGTGCATAGGTTATATGCAAATACTATACCATTTTGCATAAGGGACTTGAGTATCTGGGGATTTTGATATCTTAAGAGGGTCTGGAACACATCCTCCCCCGGTATGGAGGCATGACTCTATTTAGTTTTAAGAAAGAACAGTCTAGTTATGGCTGATGAAGAGAAAGGGAAAACCAACAGAGGAATTCCAGAAAGACTTTTCCCTCTTAGAAAAAAGTGAGGTGGAAGGGAAGCCTGCCTTTTCATCCCAGCTGGAGCAGAGTTATGTGAGGAGGTACTGTTTAAACTGCTGTTATGTGACCATGTGGACTTACTTAGTGAAGAAAACTGTGAAAATCTTGACCCAGTTCCCTGACATTGTTGAGAAGCTAAGCAAACCCTGGAATCACCATCTTCAGAATCTTTGAAATTTGAATAAATACTGTTACCCCATTACCTTTTAGAGCTATAAGTATCCCAACTAACCCAGAGGGCTACACATCTAAGCCTGGGCAGAATGGAATATCAAGAAGGACTTCCAAAGGGAAATGATTCAGTCTTTTCCTCAGCTCTTCAGGGAGAATGGTTCCTATTTGCACTTCAGTAAAAGACAAATGATGACATTTTGTAGATTCTGAAGAGCTTTTGAATTTGCTAAACTAGGAATGTTAAACTTATGATGCCAAAGGTTTATTTTAAATAACTGTGTTAGAACAGAGAATAAGAAAGCCATTAATTCCCTCTGTGGTGAAATCGAGAAAGCATTTGTGTAGGAGGTGACGCGTGGGCTGGCCACTGGTGTTGATGGTCGGGGGAGTAGGATAGTGCAAGAGCCTAATGCTTGGTGTGTAGTACACACCCGTATGCTTTGGGGACGTGTTTGACTTGAAGAACACATCATCCAGAGGAAAGGGCATGACAATAGCCCAAGTGCATGACAGTTTGACGTCTCCAGTTATGAGTGCACTGTTTGGTATGGTAACTCAAAGAACCCACAGCAGTGTGGGTGCAGCTGAGCCATGATATGAGAAAAGTTGAGAAGCACTGGGTTAGATTAAAATTGGAAAGTAAAATCAAGGATATCAGGTCAATCAAAAAATTTGGACATCTTAACTCTTAAAGATTTGTGAGACTTCACCTGAGCTTTCCCCGCCTCAAGAAGCGGTATCTTCTTTGCCTAAGGAGGCAGTTTCTTCCCTTGGTGTAAGAATTGCTTTGTCCCTGCTTCTGAGTTTGCTATGTCAGTAAGCAAAACTGAAGTGCTACACGGCCGATTGTGGAGCAGGGTGGGACAGATCTGGATGTGAAGTGAACAATGAAATGACAATTCAAAATTACTTGTACAGCATGCTGGGTTAAACAGACGAGATTGTTTATACCTAGGAGTGCCCATCTAGGGACTCCATGCCCAACCACAACAAAGCCGAGGGGAAGAGAATGTGAGGGGAACAGTCTCTCTCTATACATTTGTAACCCATTGCTGACTCACAGTGTTAGAAGTCCTGATAGTTATAAGAATGGATATTGAGGATGCTTAAGCTAGGATGGCAGGGTATAGTTTTAGTTTGGGCTGGATTTAGTGATGTGGGTGCAGTTATGTGCTAGCACAGACAGGAGGACCATTTCTCTTTATATAGTGAAAATAGCTTTTAAAATAACTTCAAACAGTGTTATAAGAACAACTCAGTAAAGTCTAAGAAAGAAAATTAAAGTCATCTAAATCTTACTGTGTTGATAATAGTTTAATAATGGTTCTAAGAATTTGGTGGGGGTGGGGATGTGCTTGCTGATGTAGCCTTGAGTCTATGGCTGGTCCACTAAGGATAAGATGGAAAGACAGACATCCCTTGGTATGATAGAGGCTCTCAAAGATAGCTGCACACTGCAGTCATCCGGAGGAGTTTAAACAGCACTGTGGGCCGGGAATATAGCTCAGTAGCAGTGCCTGCCTGGCAAGCGCAAGGTCCTGAGTTCAATTTCTGGTACAAAAAAAAAAAAAACCACCAAAAAAACCCAGTGCTGCTAGTGGACAATTCAATTAGATATCTCTGACAATAAGAGCCATCAATATATTTTCTTTTTTTTGAGGGGGGTGCAAGAATCGAACTCAGGACCTTGCACTTGCCAGGCAGGCACTGCCACTGAACTATATTCCTGGCCCTGTGTTTTCAAATGACTAGATGATTCTAGTATTTAAACTGAGTTGTGAGCAGCTGATAAAAAGAGAAGAATTTAGAGACTTTAGGGGACAGGAATGCTGGATTGACTCTTGCAACCATCTTAGAAGTAGTCAGGAGTCCAATTAAAGATGATATTTACCACTGTAGAAATTTTAAACATAAAGGGATTGAATAAAGAGGACTGCTGTGAAGACATTGGTATACAGTAACAGGAGGAGCAAAATAGAGTTGAGGGTTTATCTGGAGATCAGAGAGCTATCGTCACTTGTGGCTGAAGCCTGTGAGCTCACTCTCACTGCAGAGCTGTCCCAGATGACGAGCAGCCTGAGGGGGAGCCGCCACAGTTGGAACTACAGTCCTACTGTAGCCTTTTTATTGTTGGCAACTGGCTGTTTCTGACAGAGCCTGGAGAAAGCTGAGCCATTTTTCTACTGTTTTTCTCCCTTCAGTGGATGAACCTCTATCAGTGCCCTGCTGGTGAGGGAGTTTGGTAAGTGTTCCAGGAGCTCCTCACAAATCACCAAGGGGTATTGGAAATGGTGATCTGGAGGTTGAGTATCAAATAATGAAATCTGACATATATGTTTTGCCCACTACTCTCTAACTACATATCCTTAGCAAGGTGTGGCAGACTCTCACTTCGCGGGGCATGGAGACTGAAAGGCCAGACACTTCTTGGAAACCTGTAGGCTGGGACAGATGGTAGGGGACATTGAAATTGAAACTTGTTGCCTTTCATCAGTGGGTATCTGGCAGTGCACGGAGACAGAGTACAAATGAAGCCAACTAATTACTGGAGAAAAGTGTGCATGGTTTCCACAATAAGCAGGAGCAGGCTTGGTCAAAGTAGCTGTAAAAGGCCTGATGCATAGCGATCTCTGCCGGTGTATCCCTGGGAAGGAGATCAACAGGTAACTCATGGGTTTTCTGTGATATGAATAACTAAACACAAAACAAAGCTTTGGATTTAGTGAGCAGAGGCCTGATTTAAGCCACCACAGTAATTACACATCATTTTCCAATTCATAAGCTTTGTTGTCTTGTTGGAGGAATTCCTCCAACGGAGGGATACTTCCCTTAGGGACCACAATAATGGTTTCCGGTCTCAGGCTTTTAGCCATGGGCAAGCAAGAAAGGGTTACGGTGTTGGCTGGAGTGGTTGACATTGCTTGAAGAGAAATGATGCTGCTGCCAAGCAGAGGTGTGTGCAAGAAACCCAGGGAATTGCTCAGGTTTCTCCTTGTTCCAGCATGGATACCAATGCTCAGTAGTAACGATCGGTGAATGATTATTTTAGCCTTCCACTGG